TATGACGAAAACCTCAGCTGCGGCACGTTTTCAGTCACCAAGAGTTACACCTTTTTACTCTAGCGACGCTAAAACGGCTTAAATTAGTGGAGTCGCATTTTTAGAGCTCACGACCACCCCTATAGGAAGTATTCACTGGCGGCCATATCTGTGTGCGCGACTGCAGAGCGCGTGCTGATGGCGAGCTTCCACAGTTCTTTTGTAACGTGCATTCCGCACCCTCAAGATTGCCGGTTTTAGCAGCCTATTAATTTGGGCTCGTTCTGAGCATGCGCTCTAGACAGCACCCACAAATATGGCGCCCAGTGAATACTCCTTATAGGGGCTGTTTCGCGGCCTGTGATTATCCACGATATGCTCACCTATGCAAACCAATGAATGGCCAAACTCTCTCAACACACGGCTTTGTCGAGCACGAGAGCGCTTGTATACTCCGCTCACCCTTACGCTGAGACTACAACCAAAGCTACAAGCGCGAGCTAGCCGGAGCTCCTGGTTTTGAGACATGCATTTCTAGCGCGAGTGCTCGTCCCGTGGAACAACGCTTCAAAGCAGCGACCTCGAGCGCTCGGGCTTGTTGCATTGGCTGCAGTCTCAGCGTACGGGTAAATGGAGTATAGTGGAAGCCCGGGCTGGGTAAAGTCACTGGATCCTGAGAAAGTGGCGCCAAGCTCTTCGTGTGGTCGCCATTTTGGTCCGTGACATGAGAAATTTCTCCTTGACCCCTCCGTTCTTGGGGAGCCGATCTAAATTTGCTGGTGACGAGCAGCTTTATGGAGGCGTTTCTTGTATACCAAGATTTCGCTATCCCCACACCGGCGAAACAAGCGTACCACCACCACATGCTTGTCGGTGCTTGGAGGCACTGAAAAATAAGTTCACTGTTTTAAAATACTCAAGAAGAACAATACAATTGCAAGATATCTGTGGAGATCGCCATGATAGATAAGTTGATTGCATACAGAGTGCCGAAGACGCTTATATTGGTGAGGAACGCTTCCAGTACGATGATGCTCCATGGTGATCTTGGCGCGACTAGTTAGAACGACCCTCTGGAAGCTTCGAAGATTTGAATGGACCGCAGTGGCGATTTCCATGGCAACGTAGACAGATTAGCTAATCGCCTTGCGAGGTTTTGGTCGTCTGTATGTTAGTATCTGTTCATATCCGGCCAGTAGGTATGAAAGGCAATGGCGCTACTTTCCCAGGATCCAGTGACTTTAGGGCTTGCAACCCCGGGGAGGTTGGGTTCAATTCTGGCACCTGCCAGTTCGATCTGAATGAGCATCGTACCGGAGGGCGTCAGTTTAATCGCTATACTGTGTGATGCGCGCTAAGACAACCCCAAATTAGTAGTCGTCTTGCACTGGATGAATTTCTAATCTATAACGTGAAGCAGTATCGCCATCTTTCGTGAACAAACCGACCTCAAGCTGCCTAAACACTCACGTCTTATTTGCTTTGCTTTAATAGACCTTTTCAAACTAAACTTCGCCTTACGATCACCGTAAACAGGTTGGGACACAATGTATTCCGGTCACTTCTTTTCTCTCTAAAAAAAAAAAAAAATTAAATGCACTGCTACACTCACAACATTTTCTTTGTCCTCAGAAGCTCGTACCATCCCATTCGCCAAACGGTACGTCCCACAAGACTGCATTCACAGAGCTGCTTAGATGAGATTAGAATTGTCTGACATTTTTCTGAACCCGTTTTCTTTTCTCTTCTCTTCGGAAAGCTATTAAAGCCGCAGCTTACTAATACCCCTGTTACACGGGCACACTTAACCGCGGTTAACTCAGCTTTAACTGCGGTTACGTGGCAGCACAGATGCCGCACTATACCCTCGGACAGCTATTTCAAAAGAAGTGAAGAGAGCGCGTGCACTGCTTTGGTGGGAGCTCAAGATGCTCAAGCGCACGTTCGCCCATAGCTCTGACTGCATCGCCGCAGAATGTTGTCGGCAAGTATTGTGCGCTAATGGCGGTTTAGCGTAACTGCAGTTAAGTGTGCCCGTGTAACAAGGGTATTAGTGTCAAGGCGCTGAAAAATATGGACCGGTGGCCGAGTGGGCTAGCGCACACCAGCTCGGAGCACGTGGAGCGAAAGCTCGCGCTGCAGAACCCAGGGATTTTGGGGTCAATCCCCACCCGTGCCCGTTTCGATCTGGATGAGAATCGTACCGGCGTGCGGTCGTGTATCACTACTGCGTGGTGCACGTTGAAGACCCCAGGCTAGCAGTCGTACTGCACTGGCTAAATTGCTTATCTACAGTGAGTGACAATTTCGCCTTGTTCTGGCAGACTAGCCTTCTGCTGTATAAACAACTAACGACAAGTTTGACTTTTAGGCGCTGAAAAACAATAAATATTTCATTGATGGTAGTTAAAATGTAATACAATTTTCTTAAATAACGTTCTATTTTCAATCGTATAAATTAAACAATTTTACCTTACGGGCATAAATAAGCTTATCCCAGCTCTAATACCCTCAGGATGTTACTGCAACACTCTTAGGACGCCGGTGAACACCTTAAAAATGGGATGCTGGTGATCTTAGAAGCATTCTAGCGGTATTATTTTACGATTAACACGTTTACGGTAGACACAGGAATCATGACCCTGTAACGGCTCTACCACCTTATATAAGGTGGGTTCCAAAAAGTTTGGGACTAGTTCTGTAGCGTAAAAAGAAAGCAGCTCAGTGATGGGCGCGTAGCTGGAGAAGGCAGGGATCTTCGTGTCTCGTTTTGCCAGAGGTCGTCGCTCTGTGAATATTTGGAGCTGCTCTACACGAGTTTTTCTGATCACGCGTGCTCGAGAACAATGACGAGTTCAGCATCTACCGTTCAAACGGCGAACTTGTTCGCCGTTCAAAATTGTTCTAATGGCGAACATAGATTCTGCGTCAAACTCGGCTTTAAGAATGACAAAACATCACTCAAAAACGAAGAGAGATTGGGGAAGGTCCCTCTACCTCTCTTCGTCTTCCAGTAATATCTGCCATTCTTGAATTGCGAGTGCCACTCAGAACACCTCGCACGCCTCACTGCTTTTTCGTCATAAGCCTGTGGAATCATTTCAAATGTCTTCGTTTCAGATTCGCTCTTCTTTGCAGTCCATTCTAAATTTGACATTGTTCTCGCGCACGTGTTCATAAAAACGCGTGTTGCGCAGTTCCAAATGTTCACAGAACGACGCCCTTTGGCACGAGACATGAAGAATCCTTCCCTCGACAGCTGCGCGCGCATCACCATGCTGCCTTCTCTTTTTACGTTACAAAACTAGTCCCGGAAGTTTTGGATTGCACTTCGACAACTCAATGACATTCAATGACAGGTGACCTTCTCCGCAACTCCGAAGGTTGTACGTACGTTGCTTTGTCGTCGTCAAGATTTCACGTAGAGCAGAATATATCTGAGTTAAGGAAAAATATCTCCAAGTAAAAATCATTTCTGGACGTAATCGTTATTTCACGTAGTTGATAGAACGAGCTGTTCTAAGTTGGTGTCAGTGCAGCAAACACAATTAGTGAAAAATAAAGGGTGTTCTCACTTAACCGTAGCACTATTTTCCGTACCCTTTTTCCACCCTTCAAAAGTGAAGGGCGCTCTGTGCAACATCACCCCATTTTACGGTTAAAAGGTATCTATTGCTCGAAAGAAAAGCGCTGGAAGGGCGTAGCTATGAGTGCAAATCTTTGGAACACCCTTTTTACACCCTTAAGGACGTATTTTTTGTTGTGTCTAGAGATGATAAGGTTCACCACACGACACCCTTTTCGCAGCCAATCAATCTTTGCAAGCGCGAAGGTAGCCACTCTGTAATATCTGGAAAATTATACACATGCGGGATTCAAATCCAACAAGATATATACAGGTGCGCAATTGGAGCTTGTGTTTACTACGCACGACAGTCAAGAGCATAAATCCAGTTGATTCAAAGTCCGATAGTCAATATTAATCTACAATAAAAAAACAATATACCAAACGCATTTGACGTGACGTTTGCAAAGCGAGACTTCAAGAGGAAGGACAAATCTGATTGAAAAAGTGTACAATGGCTATGACAACAGTAGTCTACACGAGTAGAAATGAATAAAAGTACAAATCAGAAATCTTCCCGTGACAAACGATGCTTCCTAAGCATGCTCGAGATTAAAGTAAATATGATATTCACGACAAATGACTACAGCTGCAGTACCAGCATCCTGGATTTTGCCTGCTAGATTTAGTGAGCTTGTAATCAATTGCGACTGAACAACATGTCAGGTTGTAGCATGTGCCTATATGTAGTAGGGATTTCACTTTTGGTTTATGCGGAACAAAAAAAAAATATTTTCAGAAATTGGACGCGTACGACTGCTCGACGAATCTCTTGACTGAAGGCAATGTGCTCTCGGATTTCGCAAGGAAACAAAGAAAGGACTCCCTTTTTTATGGGTATTGAATTTCGTGAGCAAGTAACTATAGTTTTCAGTGGGACAACCTATACACAAAAATATATGTAAAGAACAAATGGAATCACCAGTTTTACACGCCCTCTACAGCAGATAAAAACGCAGTGCTGAGTTTATAAGGTCATTCGCATCAATATTTGTTGCATTTGAGCAAGACCGTTGCAATATGTCTGAAACAGGCACTGTTGAGATCGCACAGAACTTTACGTCGGACAAACGAAATCAGGCTTGCCCGAGGTGCCACTGAAACGTCGATGCTCACTGGGACGAGAATGCCAGTGAGCATCGATGCTCAGGTCAAACAAGCAAATTCTTTACCTAAAGAGCCACCCCCTCCTTCTGTCCAGCTAGAACATCGTTTCGATGGTGAATCGCCTTTGCCGGTTGACCCCAAGACGAGGACAGGAGGATCCCAGGGTCCCGCAGAGCAAGCGCTAGCTTCCAGCAAGTTGCAGCACGTGCCTGGAAGGCAGGCAAGTCAGCAGCAGCGAGGGCGTCATCAGTGGTGGCATTCATGGCGGCAAGATGAGCCCCTGGGCTCAATGGTGCCGTTTGGCGCTGTGCTGTTGGTGCTGGGGGTGGTAGCTGCAGCTGCGGTGGCTCCCACCGTCGATGGAGTGCTGGTCATGGGGCAGGACGGTCGCTGGAGCAGCAGCGAGCTCGTGTCCGTCGGCCAGCAGACCGCGCTGTTGCTGTTGGGTTCGCGTCTGCCTGAGGGTCCCGGTGAGGTTGGTGTCACGTCCAGAGAGGCGCCCCGAGGCGGCAGCTGCGAGCAGCACCACGTTCTGCCGCTGCCCGGTCTCGACAGCAATGGCTCCGCCAGCGTGGTTCTGCCCTGGCGGGGTCGCTGGTACATCTGCTTGCGTCAAGGCAACAGCTGGATTCACCAGGGTTCCGCGGTCAACCTAAACGCGTAAGTGAACTCACCAACTCAGTTGCTGAAGAACGTGCTTAGAGCAACGGCTTCGCAGCGCAGGAGACCCGGAGGCTGCTGTGGTGTCTGGACTGCGTTCTGCCACTTTTAGCGTGTCCGAAGACGGTGTCCTGCTGGTGCCCACGAACGAGGAACTTACGCTGGTGCTACTGGGTACAAATTTCTACGAACACACCAATGTGTCCTTGACTAAAGAGCATGCGACGCGGGGAACCAGGTGCCAGCAGCCGTCGTTGGCCGTCTCGGATCTGGAGCCTCTGCACGGGGGCCTGGCGGCCAAGGCAAGGACAAGGTTTACGTCTGCCGGACGTTATCGGCTGTGCGTGTCCCGCGCGAGACACTGGATCCACCAGGGCAGCGACGCGCTGGTCACACTTGAGGCCCAGGACAAACTGATCCCGGTTTGGGTGCACGTTGTGCTCATTTGCGTGCTTCTCGTCTGGTCTGGACTCTTCAGTGGTCTCACGTTGGGTCTCATGGCTCTTGACAAGACCGAGCTCAAGGTGATCGAATCCTGCGGTACCCCCGAGGAGCGCGAATACGCCCGCAAGATCTTGCCGCTGCGGCACCGGGGCAATTACTTGCTCTGCTCATTGGTCCTTGGAAACGTGTGTGTTAACAGTAGCTTCACCATTCTGCTTGACGCCATGCTGAGCTCGGGCCCTGTCGCCATTGTACTGTCCACACTAGGCATCGTCCTCTTAGGAGAGATAATCCCTCAGGCCATCTGTTCGCGCTACGGGCTCGCCATAGGTGCTCGCACAATCTTAATCACCAAGCTATTTATGGTGCTGACGTTTCCACTATCCTGGCCCATCTCCAAAGTGTTGGATCTATGCCTGGGCGAAGAAATCGGAAGTGTGTTCGACCGGGAAAAACTGACCGAATATCTGCGTATCACCAAGGACTATGCAGATTTAGAGAACGAGGAGCTCAACATCATCTTTGGGGCCTTAGAGCTGACTAAAAAGACGGCCGCGGATGTCATGACGCGTATCGAAGACGTCTACATGGTGCCTTATAGTGCAGTTTTGGACTTTGAAACAATGAGTGAGATTGTTAAGCGCGGCTATACTAGAATTCCTGTATTCGAAGGTAGCAAGCAGAACATTGTATCGCTGCTCAACACCAAGGATCTGGCTTTTGTTGATCCGGATGACGCAATTCCTCTCAAGACACTATGTCGCTTCTACAACCACCCCCTGAGCTTCGTCTTCGAGGATGAGACCCTAGATTCTCTGCTCCGTGAGTTCAAGAAAGGCCATTCGCATATGGCATTTGTACGCCACGTGGTCCAGTGCGAAGATCGCGACCCCGTTTACAACATCACGGGCCTAGTGACTCTGGAGGATGTCATCGAAGAAATAATCCAGTCAGAGATCATCGACGAAACAGATGTGCTAAGTGAGTGGCTTTGTATTTTACACGCTTTCTGTGCCTGACTGCATATTATTTTTATTTGCAGTGGACAATCGTCGCAAGCAGCGACGCAAGGATGCTCAGTTGCTACAAGACTTCAGCGATTTCCTCAAGATCGGTGGGGGTCAGCAGGGGAAGAACGTAGTGTCGGCGCAGTTGGCTTTTGCGACATTCCAATTCCTGAGCACAGCAGTGCGGCCCTTCACTGCCGAATTTGTAACACCCATTGTGCTGCGGCGACTTATGGCACAGAACATATTCTTTACTATCAAACCATCAGCGGGCAAAAGCCTTTTCGATGCCGGGAAGCAGTGCGATTACTTTGCTGTAGTGCTTGAAGGTCGCGTGCGCGTTACGGTAGGAAAAGAGAATCTCGTTTTTGAGGCCGGGCCTTTCTCCTACTACGGATTACCTGCGCTGACAGCAGACAGGGGTAGTTTTGTCCCAGATTACACGATCACGCCACTCTCATATGTGGTTTATATGAAGGTAGGCCATGGTGTCTATGTGGCTGCTCTGCGAGCTTCGCGCATGTGCAAGACGGACGACCCTGCCGACGTCATGCTTCAAGAGTCCATATGCCAGTTTGAGGAGCCGCCAAAACAAACGCCGTCTCCAACGGCTGATGGTACCGACCACAGAAACGTTTCTTGGTCTGAGCCGGCAACTGCCTGAGAATCTTAAGAGTTTATTAAATGAATATGCATCAACGGTTCAACGATGTTCTGGGGAGTCGTCTTCGTTGGCGTAGCTCGTGTAGCGGATGTCCGAAGAGGCGCTGCGCAGCAGCAGCGCCTGAAAAGCCAAGCAATCATGCAGGTTCGACCTTGATAGCCCCACACCCACGTGCTATGTCCAATTCACTCACCTGGTTCTCTTGGCGACCGGGCGGATTCCTCAAGAAGAACATGAGGGGCGAGTAGATGAAGCACACAGCCGCCGTCATGTAGAGCAGCCTGCAGACAAGAACATGTTGTTCGATAGGCTGGTGACAGGCGCGGTGGTTCACTTACGCTCGAAAGCCCATGGTCTTGACAACGCTGCTACTTATAATAGGTCCTGCGAGGAAGGGCAGGATTGAGTGTTCCGCGCGCGACTCCGTGAGTCAGTGCTTACCCAGGACAAAGCCGATGCAAAAGGCTGTGTCTCCGATGGCGTATACACTGCCATATACAGACGAGTGCCGGATGTCGACTAAGTAGCCCAGCATGGGCATCATGGACGAGTCTACCATACCGATAGCGAATCCGATGCCAGCGTTGGGTGCGATCAGGTCGTTCACATTCTTGGCCATAGGAATCTGCGTCGGAGCGCCATGTCAGGTTTGTGCGAGGCCCGCGCGGCGTGGGCTACTCACGCAGACGAGGCAGATGCCGATGATAAAGAGTCCCATCATGGAGGAGAGCCAGCGGCCCAAGCGGTGGCCCATCGGGCCGAACAGGTTGGTACCCACGAGGTAGGAGATGCTTGCAGGCAAGAAAACGGCCCCCTGTTGCCACCGCGGAGCCTCCATGGTGTCCATTAGCCAGAGCGGCAGCGAAGGCTCTAGCACGGCAATGCCCATGTTGGCGAACGTGATGGCGCCGGCCGCTGCCAGGATATAAGGGTCTTGGGCCAGGGACTTGAGCGAAGCCCCCTGTACGATGTCCCGGCGCACTTTGGGCTGCAGCACCACCAGCTGCAAGACTAGAACGTGCCCCGAGGGGCTGTGGCGGTGGGCCCCAGGGGCCAACGGGCAGTTTACTCACGGCCGTCGAGCAGGGTCACGGCGGCAAGCACCAGGAAAGGAGCGCTCTTGCTGACGAATTCGTACATCGCGCCGCCGAAGGGTGGCCCAATCATGACGCCTAAAGCCAGACCGCCCATGGCGATGGCCATAGCATTGCCGCGTTCCCGGTCGTCCGGGTACTTCTCGGCCAGCATGCCCATGCCGGCGACGCTAGTGCACGCGGAGCCCACACCTTGCATCGTGCGCGCCAGGAACAGCGTGCCATAGCTGCTGCCCGCGGCGAACACTGCGTGCGGAGGTGGCGGGCTATGCAACGCGTGGCCCGGCGCGCGCCGTGCGGGGCTCACTCACCCAGTGTCGAGACGAACATGATGACGAAGCCAGCGAACATGGGCACCGTGTAGCCGATGCGGTTCGTGAGCGGACCCACCACCGGGTTGACGAGCGCCTGCACAACAGGTTTGGAGGCGAACATGACGCCCACCTCGACGTTTTCGTTGTTGAGCAGCTCGTGACGCGTCTGCTTGTCTTGGGGACTGAGTGTGCTGGGGCTGGGCTCTGGTTCCGGTGAACTGCTACCCGGGGGTACCAGGGTCCGACCGGGCAGCTCCCAGTCGCCGGGGTCGGTCGTCGTGCCCAGCAACAGCGCGGGGCCGCTCGTCGGCGCGGCGCTGGCATTTTCAGACTCCTTGTTCAGCTCGTAAAGGAAGTTTGGAATGATGGGCACTGCGGGAGGAGCGAGACGAGTGGGCGTGCGGGGCCGGCCCCCCGGGCCCCGCGCATGGCGGCCGATCGATCGGCTGCCCCGTCAAGATGAAGAATCGATAGGGGCGTTTACCGACGGTGGTGAGCAGCATGTTGTCTAGCAGCAGCGCCACGGCCACGATAAGGAGCACCAGCCGCCGAGAGTCCCGGCAGCCGCGGATCAGCTCCAGCAAGTGCATGCCGATCGATCACCTGCGGACGCCATGACTGCAACAGGTGCGCGCAACAGGTGTTGGGCGCGCTCACCAGCAGCCCCCGGGGACGCTGTCGCCGTGTCGACTGAGCCCCGCGGGCCCCCGGGCCCCGCGCCGGCCCCAGGCGACGCACGCGACATCTGCCGGCGCCCGGCGCGGCCCCCTCCAATCGAACAGTGCGCGCCTCCGTGGGGCCCTTTATTACTTGCCGCCTCATTAGCCAGCCGCGCAAAGCGCAGCCGGAGACTGCCGAACCCCACAGGCCCGCCACAGGACCCCGAACAGCGCCGCCTGGACGCGAGCGCGGCCGCCGGGCCCCCACCTATGCCCCTCGGGGGCTGCTCAGGGTTCCCTGGCAGGCCCCTGTTCCGCGTCTTCGAGGACAGTCGCCCCTGGCAAGCGCTGCAGTCGACCCGGGGGCCGCAGCGTGGCCGGCCAGGAAGCCGACCCCGTCCAGCACCACGCGCACGAAGCAATGTAGCAGCTGCGGGCCAAGTGGAGCTTCGCGAGAGACAGACCCCACGAGTCGAGCGAGAACAGCGCGATCGAGAGGCGCGGCGGAAATGAAGCGGTCCCCTACTTCTGCGCCCGCTCAAGGGAGCGAGCGCAGAGGTTGGCGCCCGCTAAACCATGCCGGTGCCGCCTTTGGAATCAGCAAGAGCAAGCTTTGGTCGCGAGCGCAGAAACCTCTCACGAGCCGTGGCGTCGAGCTTTTTCGAGGCTCGACGACAGGGCGTCATACAGCTGACAAACTTCAGCGTCCAGCAGCGCCGTTGCGGGTTGCTGCCGGAGAGTCCCTCATGCGGCCCACAGAAGCACGTCCGATAGCGTGGAGCTTGTGCAAAGCAGATATCAAGGGTGTAGATGGACCGACAATAAGTCCGTTGCGACCTCCGCCCCCCCCCCCCCCCCCCCCCCTCCATTTCAGACATTTATATTTTATGTTAAGTATACGCTAGTGGAGTTTCTGGTGCATTTTATACTTGTATCTGACTAAGAGTAAGTAACTGAAAAAAATAGTAAAGAATCCCCATCCTCCACCTCACCTGCCTCCCCCCCCCCCCCCCCCCCCCTTCCTCCTCCAAACAATTCTGAAGGCACTGACCGACTCGAAGTTCGCTGGGGAATGTAGGAAGTCAAGTACGTGGACAGCCAGACGGAAGCCCGGGCAATGTAGCTGCACATGTGCGTTGTCGAGGGCATGCAGTAACGGTCCCAACAGGCGCGAACCCGCAGCATAATTTCGGGCAACTCTCCGGTCCGTGGTCCGGACGCGGTTTCGGCGAACCCGGGTGGCCAAGGGGAGCGGGATGTTGCGAAGGCTCAGCACCTAGACGAGGGCCTCGCGGTTCGGGAAGCTACACTACCATCCGAGGTTCCAACTGAATCTCAGGCTCGTGCAGCCTATAACCATCGGCCAAGAGTAGGACGGCCGCTGACAGGACTTCAATCCTTGTCGTCTGATATCAAGCCGTACTGTGATTCGGAGCTTGGCCCTGCAGTGGGTAGACGTCAAACTTAAGTAATTTCCTTTCCAAATGTAATTTAATTTCTCTTATGCCATTTTGCTCCGAAAATATTTAATTACAATTAGGATTACGAGTTCACAAAAATAATTCGTACAAATATGCATTACTTTCAGAAAGGAATGCAATTACTTTACTATTAGTTTACTTCCAGTACCCGACTTCAATAATGTTGATGTGAAAGCAGTTTGTCCGATTGAAATGTATTGGTGGACTCCTTCACTCTAAGAAATTCCTGCGCGTCTACTTACCCGCAAAACACTCAGAGAGACGATCTCTGCTATCTACGAAATCAGCTCAGCGAATGATGAGGAGGAATATCTGTTTAGGCCTAAAAATGATGTCTGCGCTGTGGCATTACGCAATGCAAAGCGGCATGCTTGCATTGCGTAATGCCACAGCACAGACTTAATTTTGAGGTCTAAACAGATGTTTCGCTTCATCATTCACTGAGTATTGGGGGTTGTGGGGATATTTAGACAGCGTGTATATGTGAGTTGGTCAGCCATTTCAAAGATGCGACGAGTCACTCGCTGTAGATGAGAAATTTAGCCAATGCAGTACGACTGCTAGCCTGGGGTCTTTAACGTGCACCACGCAGTAGTGATACACGACCGCACGCCGATACGATGCTCATCCAGATCGAAACGGACAGGGGTGGGGATTGCACCCAGGATCTCTGGGTTCTGCAGCACGAGCGTTCGCTCCACGTGCTCCGAGCTGGTGTGCGCTAGCCCACTCCGCCACCGATACCCCGTCATTCGCTGAGCTGATTTCGTAGATCGCAGAGATTGGCGTTTCGATTGGTTAGCGTGTAAGCAGACGCGCAGCCATTCCTCAGAGTGTTGTATGGCCATTGAATATTCCGTTTACGGAATTTTGCATTCGTCACATCGTGGGACATTGTTTTTCTCTTTATTACCGATATGATATATAGGAACCTGCGTTCTGAATATGATACAATTCAGTCGGGTTTATCATTGCAGCTCAACTTCAAGGTAACTGTGACCTATCCTTGTGAAAGGAATCTAACGGAGGCAGAAACTCTAATTATTCTGAAAATGAACGATACTCATTGTGTAAGATACTTAATGAACACATCACAATCTCATCATTTTGATTTTCCACCTTGACAATAGAAGACACTCTCGCTTTTTATCGGGCATCTTCTGTGTCCCTCTGCGACTGCTGTGGTTTGACAGTTGCCCAGCCGGCGTTCAATGTCGCTGGCCTGGCGAGTTGACGGCAGAAGGTCAATGAGGCAGACAATCAGCGTATTTTCGCCTGCCAATGCTCTATAATAGGAAGCTCCAGCATCACAAAATCCCCAAAAGAAGTTGTAATTGTAATTTAAGTTTTCCAATAAATGCAGGTAAAAGTAATGAAATTACAACTGCGATTACATCTAGTTAAAACAATAAAATACAATTACAAACTACTTGCACAAGTTACTAATTTACAGCAATTCTATTACTGTCATTGAATAGATACCGAAGTATGCTATGCTTTGTTTCACCTTATCTGCGAGCGAAGCCAAAGCTAAAAGCGCGAGACCAGCGCTTTTTGCGTTTCTCCCCAGCTCGCGCGCTCGACCAAAGCCTGAACGCACGGAGCTTTCGTGCTCGCGCTTCCAGCTTTGCCTTCGCTCGCACATAGGGTGAAACGAAATATATATGCGGCGGTTTCAATAATGATGATGCTGACGCGGCTTCCGAAGGGATGCGAGGTAGGACGAAGACGCACCAGGGCCGGTTTGCTAGCCAAGAGGGGTATCTTCCCACACGAGGAATTTCGAGGTCAGGTGACCGGCTCCGTGGGGAGAAAGTACCTAGCGTTCCAGCCGATTCCGCTTAGCCGACGTAGGCCTTGCGTGCTGTTTTCTTTAATTATCGATTAACACGACCTTCCCCAGAAATAACTTCACATGCCGCTTTTGAAATGCACGAATGTGGTTTATTTCACTCGCATTTCAAGCCTTTTCACCATTTTTCTGTGCGCAAAATCGAACTTTAATATTCGAAGCGAGGACGGACTTGCGGCAGCCATTCGGCTGCAACATAACGTTTCTCGTCCACATAGAGCCGGTCACGTGACTTCAAAATTCCTCATGCGGGTGATTTAATCGTCGGGAAAGATACCCGCATTGAACGGCAAACCGGCCCTATAGGGGTCCGACTTTGTTCAAGGCGAGAGCGTTGTCGGCCGCTGATTAGACCTGACGCTACAGCATGTGTGTATCAACCAATGGGAGTTTTTAGACCCGCTGGAGAGTTCAATCGGGCAATAGTTTGGTGAAAACGTTTCACCAACATACGAATAGCGAGAGAGGTCTCGCGGCCTTTGATGTCCTTGTCCTTAGTACGTACCGTATTTACTCGAGTAATAGCCGCACTATTAATGAACAAGGCCTTTGCGTCTGCTTTTCCACAGGACAAATATACAGCCGATCATTGCGTTGCGCATAAAAACCATGGCGAATAACCAGATCGAGAACACGATTCTCCAAACAAATGCAATCTTTACAGATGGTATCTTCGCATGAAAACGTTATCTCTGTCCTGTAAACCGCTGGAATCATGCTGTCGATCGCGGTGATTGGAAATCTGCGTGCTCCGCGGGAAAGCGAACACTCAGGTTTTCTTCATGAAGAGTGCGGCTATTACTCGAGTAAATACGGTACTTCTTCATGCATTCATCTGTCGACGTTAGCTTGTGTACGGCAGCAAACAACTTGAGATTTGGATGGACAGACATTTTGATGAACAATATCCTCTGATAGTCTTATTATTCATAATAATATTAGTATTAATAATAATGTTATTATCATTACCATTATTATTATTAATATTATTATTATACCACGTTGGATATTTTAAAGTACAGACCAGATAACTTTGGACTTGTGCACAATCGATATAATTGTATCTAAAGGGTAGCGGACATTTCATCGAACGCCGTTTCATCGAATGAATGGACATTTCATCGAACGCCATTTCATCGAACGCCGTTTCATCGAATCGCTAAGGGCCGTTTCATCGAATTTCTCTGTATCGAGTTTTGGGGCATAACAGTGCTTTATAGATGTTTTACCTTACATTTGTTAAGACTAAGGTTGTCACTTGTGAAACTGTCTTTAGGGTGGAGCCAAATTACTAGAAATAAAAACCATTGGTATAAAAACAAATGGGTATGCGACTTACTGAAAAGTTTTACTCATGTACCTGTCAGAAAACATGACACTGGAGGTAAAGGACCGGCACTTAAAACACTTTTGAATGTCTGTGTCTTTTTTTTTTTTTTTTTTTACCGGCTGTCCGGGGATTTTGGTAATGTGCCATTCACACCAGCTCATTTGCACACTTACGCTTAGTTGAAAGTTTATTCACGAAAAGAATTTAACTGCCAGGGCAGCACACTTATAATAAAACGATACTCTGCCAGGAGAGCACACGAAATAAA